ATCGACAAGTGTCCCGCGGTGGCCCGTGGTGTCCAGTTGAAGGAGATCAATAGTGAGATCGACAAGTGTCCCGTGGTGCGCCGTTGAGTGAGATCGATAGTGAGATCGATTGAGTCAGATGTTGGTTCCCCCCCCCTTCCCCCCCACAACCTCCTTATCACCCGAAGGGTGGTCGTATAGGTACGTCTGTGTGAGGACGTCGAGTATCGAATCGTCGAAGGCGTCCACGGCGTCGTAGGTGACGGCCAAGGCCTTGCATGAGGCGCGCGCGCGGGCGTGAGCAGAAGTCGATGGCTCCGCGGAGGTCGAGCAGAGTAGGGCACAAACTCAAGTCCACACAGCCGGGGGCGCCATCGAGGGAGCGCGCAGCGGGCGCGGTGCCGTCGCCGATGATCTCCAGCCATGTGGCTCAGCGTGCGTCTCTCTTCTGGCGGTCTGGCGGTGCCTGGTGGTCAAGGCACAAAGGTCAAAGGAGTCCCACGGAGTAGAGGAGCGGACGCTCATGGCGACGACGTCCCGTCGGGACGTGTGCATGAGGACTGGGGGGATTGGCCGGAAGTCGCCGTAACATATGATTGTCTTCGGTGCGTGATCATCGCCGTGCGCTTGTCGAAGTACGTCAAGACATCGAACGACAGCTTCCCAGGCAGCGCGCTTGACGCAGGGCCATTCGTCCCACTGAATCACGTAAGCGCGAGCAAGACGCACGGCTTCTGACGCGCGCAGCCCAGGAGTGCAAGTCAGCGGGTCTTCGTCAGACAAGGGGATCTTGAAAATAGAATGAGCCGTGGCGCCAGCTGGGAAAAGCAGGGCCGCCTGGCCTGCGGTGGCGACGTTCACGCAAAATTTGCCGCGATGTTCCGTGCAGTTGTGAACGTATTTGGCCATGGTGGACTTTCCTGTGCCCGCGGCACCGTGGGCGAAGACAAACTTGGACTGGAGGGTGTCAATGCTGGCCGCAATCGCGGTCGTGGCCGCGTGCTGCTGCGGGCCCTTGCACAGGAGGGCGCGTGAGCCTTTGCAGTGAAGCACGCGCGGCGCTGACGCGTGGGGGGACGCGGCAGACGACGGTCGTCTCCGGGCAGATGACGGTGAAGGGGGGCCAACAGTTAAGAAATTGAGCACGTCGGGCCGTTCCTGTGCCGCCGCGGCCATGCGCGAAAAGCGATGCAGTTCCTCTCGGGCCGTGGGGGGAGCAAGCCCCCGGTCCAAGAAATCATTGAGCATGTACTTCTTCTCGAAAGCGTTGTACAATGCGACGGGGGTCGCGTCGAGGTCGAGGAGAACTACGAACGCGAACCGTAGCTGGTGCGCGGTGTGGCGCAGGTCGACGAGCTCCTGGAGGACGCGGGAGGCCTCGTCGTCTTTCGCGAACATGCCTGTTGCGAGCATGGCCTCCTCGTAGGCGGGGTATTCGTGGCCGGGGTGGCAGAGGCAATCTTCGAAGCTTTGTTTGGGGAAGTGCAGGGGCATCTGTCTCAGGTAGAAGATGGTAGAAGACTTCTTTTTGGCTGGGATACTTCATCTCCGATCAAAACGCGGGCGGCTCACCGCGGCTTCGGACGTGGACGTACTTTCGGCGACCTCTAGTCGCGATATCAACGCAGGGTCGGACGGCGACGTCCTTGGGGATGCAATGCCACCTCTGTGACAGAACTGGCCATTCGCTCTCGGGGGGCACTGCGAGGTGAGTGCCGAACGTCTCCGGGAAGAAGCATTTCAAGCTCATAGTGCAAACTTTACGGACAATGAAACGCTCGAAATATTCGTGGCACTTGCTCCTTAGCATTGCACCGCATTGCTTTACAATGGTTTGCACCACAATTTGTTTGCAACACATCGATTGCACCACCTAGGTTGCACCGCGTAAATATTGCAAGCAGTCGCTGTTTGGGGTCCACGCTGGCGAACATACGTAGCACCCCCGCTGATGCGGACAAAAGTGAAGACTCTGGAAAAGCCCGCCGCAAGTGCCAAAGTTTCACAAACTATGCAACGAGCCCGCCGCAGGCGCCGATTTGTTCACTAAACCAACGTGGGTACGTCGCGGGTGGGTCGCAAATGGGTCGCGGGTGGGTCGCTGTTGGGTCGCGGGTGTAGAAGGCAGAAAATCCACCCCATAATAATCACCCCGACAAGCGAAGCCGTTTAGTAAACGCACGCAAGGAATGAATCGAACAAGGCAGGGCTGTTTAGTCAATGCCATGAGCCGTTTAATAAACGTCAATTGTCGGGTCCTGGTGGTTTTTCCTCCCATGAGGGTGGGTCGCGGGGTGGGTCGCGGGTGGGTCGCGGGGTGGGTCGCGGATGGGTCGCGGATGGGTAGCGGGGTGGGTCGCGGGTGGGTCGCGGGTGGGTCGCGCGGGGTGGGTCGCGGGGTGGGTCACGGGTGGGTCGCGGGTGGGTCGCGGGTGGGTCGCGGGGTGGGTCGCGGGTGGGTCGCGGGTTAGGTCGCGCGTGGGTCGCGGAGTGGGTCGCGGGTGGGTCGCGGAGTGGGTCGCGGATGGGTCGCGGGTTGGGTCGCGGGTGGGTCGCGGGGTGGGTCGCAGGGTGGGTCGCGGGGTGGGTCGCGGAGTGGTTCGCAGGGTGGCTCGCGGGTGGCTCGCGGGTGGGACGACGACAACAAACAACAACAACAACAACAACAACAACAACAACAACAACAACAACAACAACAACAACAGCAACAACAACAACAACAACAACACCAACACCAACAACAACAACAACAGCAACGCAACAAACAGAACTCTCACCACGAATTCCTTATTCAGCCGCGCACCCACGGACAATGAATGACTGTTCGGCCCCTCACTCTGACATATATATATATGTATGGATCAATTAGTACAAACATAGTATATACGACTTCTTGACCGGTCTCACTATCTATCGATCGGGCCCAATATGAACCGATATATAAAAGTTAGCAAGCGATGGTCCCAAACGTTGCGTTTCTAGCAATATGCTATATATATGTGTGGATGTGGTGCAAACTAGGTGGTGCAGTTTACAGTGTACACCCGATGTGGTGCAATATCTGTTGAGCACGTATGTTGTGCAAGTTATGTTTTGCAATCTATGTGTGCAAACTATGTGGTGCAACGCAGGTTGTGCACTCGAGGTGGTGCAGCATGTGCTGTGCAATCCATCTGGTACAATATAAATCAACACATGCTGTGCAGACTAAGAGGTTCAGCCTGAATGATGCATCATATGTGGTACAACCTATGTTGTGCACCCTATATGTTGCAATGTATGTCGCATCTCGTTTGCAATGTCTGTTGTGCGCTCTCTCTGGTGCTATATAGGTTGTGCAATCCATGTGGAGCAACCCGGGCGGTGCAATATACGCTGTTCATGCTATGTAGCATAATATACGTTGTGTTTTTTCGGTTAGCGTGGGATTGTCAACTCAACATCTCTCGAAATCACCCCACCCACCCAACCGCAACTTGATTTGCAAAACCCATGCAGCGGCGATTGCGATGAGTCTTTGATGCTGGCTGCTGCATCACTGCGGCCGCGCTAGCCCGCGCATGCACGCGAGCACAACGGCCAGCTAGCTTGGCGCGACCGACGCGACCGCGGTGGCGGTGACCGCTGGGCACTACCCAGCGCGGTTCGCAGGCCGCGCTGCCTCGCGGGTACTTCACATGCGAGTCGGTGACTTGGGCGGGCGTGGTATCAGGGCGACGTCGACAACGGTAGACACGATGATGATAGTAGCGAAGATCGCGACGATGATGGCGGCAAGGCAAATAACCGGCGCCAGTGATGATTATGTCGATGAAGATGGTGGTGTCCTCGCGTCGGTGGTGGAGGTTTTGGAAGGATTTCGACATGCGCGCGTGGCCGACGCGCACGAGAGGCCCGCATGGTATTACTTGAAAGGGATCGTGCCACTCCCAACACGCGCGCAAGGACGTTCGAATGATTTCGACATGCGCGCGCGAGAGGCCCCGTTGGTGGAATGTGATAAACATGTTGAAGAGCGTATGCCCTCGCGCGCAGACCATTTTTCGAAAACTGATGTTGCACACCCACGTGTCGTTGATGTGTTTTCGCGACACTCGAATTTGAAATCTCCACGGATTAAAGATGTTTGAAGAATTTCGGAATGCGCGCGCGACGACGCGCGCGTGCGCACGTCGTCCCAGATTTCGCAAGGGATTCCCGAAAACGGAAGATGTTTGATAAACGAGTGCGCGCGCATTGTATGTTGTGCAGAAGATGACTGGGGATGGCAATGCTGGCCTGGCTGGGAAGGTACAAGCTTATATGTAGGATGGAGGATGGGCCAAAATCACATGTAAATTGCAATGCGGAATGGTGGGCGGATCATCGGAGGGGTTATAGCATAGATCTTCAGTAGAAAAAGAGAACCTACGCGGTGAAAACCTTATAGTGTAATATATGTTGTGCAATGTTTGTTGTGCAATGTAGGGCGGCGACGAAGCGGCGACGGCGGGCACAGAACCGTCAGCCCGAAGACACGGCCTAGACGACGTGCGGCGACAAGGCGGCGACGGGGCGGCAACGGCGGCAACGTAGCCGCCAGACCGAAGACACGGCCAAAACGACGGGCGGCGACGAGGCGGCGACGGGGCGGCGACGGTGGCCACATAGTCGCCAGACTGAAGACACGGCCCAGTTCCTTAGAACAGGAGTAAGACACCCTAAGTGCAATCACTGTTTGGGGAATCTCTCTATCAACGCGAGACAGCCACGGCGAGACACCAACCGAAAGACAACCACAACGAAACACCGACAAGACATTCGCGGGACAACCGCGGGAGAACCGTGGGACAACCGCGGGAGAATCGTGGGACAACCGCGGGACAACCGCTGGCACTGGGGTGGGAGAAGAAACTTGTTATACGACTGGGCCCTAGCGTCGGCCAGCACATCGTCGCTTTCGCGCAGCTTCGCCTCGCCCGCACGCGCGACGAGAACCGAAACCGATCTCCCGGTCGAGCATTTCGCTCTCAACCCCCAACCTCCGATAAAGCTACGCGCGCTAAGGAGCACTCACCACTGCGAATTGCGCACTCATGATTTGAATTTGGACCACCACGCACGGGCACCTGCCCGCGGCGAGACGTCGGAAGATGTTGCACAGCCTGCCGTGCACAGGCGCAAAAAACCGCTGGTGCAAACCCTGCGGGGGAGCTCGCAGGAGCTGGCGCGGGCTGCGGTCACAGTCATCGCGCTACCAAAAGGAGCACGGACGAAGACAGGAGGGAGCTCTTCTGGCCACACTGGGCCTCGGCCACGAACGGGCCCCACGACCTAGATCTGGTGGAGCGGCCCGGAAACCCAGACCCCTGCCGAGCCCGAAGCGGTCCTTATTTCAGAGTCTTGGCTGCACGAGCCCTGGGCTACTGCGCCGCGAAAGAAATCACCAACCACGGGCCGTGGCCGCCTACGGCCGGGAACTTTTGCTTAACGTGTCGCGGCGGCGGCCCCGACGACACGCTATCCTCTGCAAGCGGCTGGCGTGTCGCTCCGCTCCACGGGGCGGGAGGCTCGGAATGGCTGGGGACGTCGAGGATCGGGGTCTGGGATAGGGTTAGTGTGTCGAGCCGACGCGGAGGAGGAGGAGGAGGAGGAGGAGGAGGAGGAGGAGGAGGAGGAGGAGGAGGAGGAGGAGGAGAGGAGGGGAGGAGGGAGGAGGGAAGAGGAGGGAGGATGAGGGGGCGGGGGGAGGAGGAGGGGGCGGGGGGGAGGAGGAGGAGGAGGAGGATGAGGAGGAGGAGGGGCGAGGAGGAGGAGGAGGAGGAGGAGGAGGAGGAGGAGGAGGAGGGAGGCCAAAAAGAGCTTCGGGTGGAGCGAGCGATGGGCTACAGGCCCTCGGCGGCCATGCCCATGTGGGCGGCCATGAGGCTCCCCGGCGGTGGGCTACAGGCCCTCGGCGGCCATGCCCATGTGGGCGGCCATGAGGCTCCCCGCGGCCTCAAACTGCGCCAGCGCGAGCTCGCAGTCTTCGATGTCCATGGCCTTCCCTGTGGGCTCGAAGCGTCTCCTGCTTGGCGGCGCGCACAAGGAGGTTGGCGCGAGGGGGGGGTGGCCTTCTACAGAGAACCGAAAAGAATCCCTCAGAAGTAGTACCCTGACAAGCGAAGCCAGATAGCAAACGCACCCAACGAAAAACTCGAACGGGACGGTGCTGTTCAGTAAACGCTCACTGCCGGTTTTTAGTAAATGGCAATCTCACCAGCCCTTTAGGGCGCGAGTGGTTTAGGGAGTGTCCTTTTCCATCCCCCCTTCTCCTCCCCCCCTTGGGGAACGACTTACCCCTCCCCCTACCCGGACCACCCCTCCAGCTGAACCTGGACGGGGCGTCTCGCGATGCGCTGGGGCGTCCAAGACGGCCTCGGGCCTCGGCGAGAAGGCACGCATCATCGGTTTCACGGCGGTTTGGGGGCCCAAATTCGGCCTCCTGGGGGGGGGATCAGTTACCCCCGCCCCTTCTTTGATCGATCGCCTCTAGATGTGGTCCAACGATTGCCCCCGAGGCTTCCAAGAGTGCCCCAAAGAGGGCCCCACAAGACACGCCCAGGAGGCTCCAAGAGGCCCCCAAGATGCTTTCAAGATGCCCCCCAAAAGGCTCCCAAGAGACCCCCAAGAGGCCCCCACAGGCTCCCCCAAGGCACCCAAGACGTTGCAAGAGGCCGGTGGGGCCGCCCAAAGGCCCCCCCAACCGCCCCAACAGGCCTACAAGAGGCTCTCGAGAGACATCAGCACAGGCTCCGAAAAGCGTCCAAGAAACCTCTGGCCTTTCGGTTCGCCCTCCTCCTCCTCTTCCTCTTCCTCGTCCGTGTAATTATTTCCCTCCTCCTCCTCCTCCTCGTCCAAACCTGGCGCAAGAATGTGTCTCCTTGCGCGCCTCTTGCCACTTTCACCGCCGCATGTGCCGCAATGCACAGAGGCGGGCGGCGTTTCCGACAGGCGAGAGACTGAAACCACTTACGCCACCGCAAGCCGCGGGTGGTTCTCAAGCACGAGAAAGCGAAAGCAAGCCTCCTGCATCATCATCATCATCATCATCATCATCATCATCATCATCATCATCATCATCATCATCAGCATCATCGTCATCATCATCATCATCATCATCAGCATCATCATCATCATCATCATCATCATCATCATCTTCATCATCATCATCATCAGCAGCAGCATCATAATCAGCATCATCATCATCATCAACAGCATCAGCATCAGCATCAGCATCAGCATCATCATCATCATCATCATCATCATCATCATCATCATCGCCATCATCATCATCAGCATCATCACCATCAGCATCAGCATCATAATCATCACAATACTCAGCATCATCATCAGCATCATCATCATCAGCACCACCATCATCATCACCATCACCATCACCATCATCATCATCAGCATCAGCATAAGCATAATCATAATCAGCATCAGCATCAGCATCACCATCATCATCATCACCATCATCATCATCATCACCATCACCATCACCAGCATCATCATCATCACCAGCATCATCATCGTCATCATTTGGCGGATGACGTCTCGCCATCACGAACTACATCTGCAGTCCTGAAAGGGTGGCGAAGGAAGTGCCAGGCCTCACCAAGGGAATATCTCGAGGGCTCCCCCCCTAAATTGGCAAGCGCCTCGGCGCCGTGCGATCCTGCGGCAGGGGGGAAGGGGCTTGCAATGCTGAGAGAGCTTCGCCGACGCTTTGCGCCGAAGCTCTGAGCCCTCTAGATCGCAGACCGCGCATGCAGTGCAACAGACGCAACTGTCAAGCTGGAGCGGATGCACACCATGGAATGTCCCTCGTTCAGATGCCACGTGCGCGTGCGCCAAGTCTGCGCCCGCGAGAGCACGAGGGGTGTAGTTGGGAGGCGGCGGGATGACGACCAGGGGAGGAGTCGTGGCGTTCCGAGCTCGCCTCTGGTCGGGCTCGACATGCTCGCAACTGAAGCCTGCAAGTTTAGTTTGCATCCCGCGCGCGCAACCCACCTGCCATAATCAGAGAATCGGGAATGCGAAGGCGCTCGGCCGGCCACTTCGCCCAATCGTCAGCTTCGTCGTTGCCAGCCTTTTCCAGGGGAGTGGCCAGCCCGAGTTGAACACTAGCATGGGCGCAGTGACCACTGATTTCATTCAGAGAGATCTCCAGGGGCCCGCCCCAGCCCGAAACTTAGGCCCAGACGACTAACCGCAACTCAACCCAACGACTTCGGGAGCGGCAGCACTCTCGGGCGCCTCTGAGATGCAGGCCCTCAAAAACCAAACTCGAATCTATGTCAAACGTACATCCTGGCATGGCATGCTGCAATGCCCCAGAACGCGCACGACTCACCACGGGCCATGTCCTGCGTGAGCTCATGCAGGGACCCGCGAAAAAAAAACTGGCAGTACACGATGTAACTCTAGGAATATGATTATGGTAACACGATGTACTCGCGGAGCGAGGTTCTGGCCCATCCAGCTGCCGTCCAGAAAAACTACGCCTTGAGAAGGCGCCCGGGCCCCCAGGGGAACCATCGATCGTGGACAGTGGGGGCCATTCAAAGGGAGGGCAGCGAGCGGCACCGGCAGCCCCTCGGCGAAGAGGCGAGGCGGCCTGCGCGAGGCCGGGGAGCATGGAGAAATGCGCCCCCCCTTTGCCACAATCGCCTCGCGCAGCCCAAGTGATGGCGCGCCAGTGCGCCGGGGGCAGTGGCGCAGGCGAGGCAACTGTGATTCTCGCTCTGACTCGCGCTCCCACGGGCGATGCCGCGGCCACCGGCCGCTGGAGACGACGCTCTCGATGCGCCCCTGTTCAGTGTGGCAACCTTGCCCCAGAGCCAAGAATCAACCGCGCAACGCAGCTAGATGGAGGCCGTCTTTTGGGAGACCCCTACGATCGAAATGCAGCCGTTCTCGCGGCGCGCCCTGTCGAACCCTTGGATCCCAAACTCGAGACTGATAGCAGTGGCCGCGCTGGTAGAGAATAGGCCGCGGACGACCGCCCTCGGTTTCCCATGGCGCTCGAAGCGCGAGACCGCATCGCAGATGCCCTGACGCGAGGGGCCGCGGGGATGCCAACAGTCCCAAACATCAGCCAAGAACATGAACAAGTGTTCGTTGTTGAGCCTGCACGCAGGGTCGCACCTCGAAGCCTCCGGCGTCGTGAGAAGGAGGGTGAGGCTGCGACCGCTCTGACTCCGAACCTGCGCATGCGCCTGGAACACTCGTGCGCATCTTAAATCACAACAGTTCGAGTCGCGCACAGTGCCCCCGCACTTCGAGGACGGCACTGACGGAGCTTGCGCCATGATGCACTCTGCGCTTGTGTGCGTGTTTTCCAAAAGAGCGGACATTGCGGGCTCGAGCGACAGCCGGTGCCGCGCGAGACTTCCCAGCGTGGCGGGAACTGCGCACGGCTGCTGAAAATCAGTGCCGGGACTGCTCTCGCTAACCACTCTTCTGACGTGATACTCGCGCAGCTTGCGCACCAACCGATGACGTAGGTATCCCGAAGAGGCAGCAGCGCGACTTGCTTCGACGGGCATTGAGATGCACTTCAGCTAACTCCGCGTGCAACATGGCCGTGGAGACAAAAAGGTCTGGGGTGGTATCTCCTTATCTGCGCCCTCTGCACATGCCGAAATCGCCTGCGACAGCGCCGAAAGTAAACTGGTGCGGGGGGAAGCACGCGCGGCATCGAAGTGGCAAAGTGGCAGCCTGGCAGCGCAGCTCATCAGCCTCAATGAGCTCAGACGCCGCACTATTGAGATCGAGGGTTCGGGGGGGCCCATAAAGCTCGACGAAGGGCCTCCACTGGCGGAGCGGGAGACCCGACTCGGCGGCTGCCACACCTAGAACATCACGACGCGCATGCTCAAAGGCCTTCCGAACACCTGAAACATGAGGCCACTGGAGAATCCACGCGACGCCGCCCACTCTGAGCTGGCGGCCTGGCTCCAAACGAGCCCATCACTGCTGCGACCTGAAGGGGGCCACCAGCATTGTCTGGGGTGATCTTTCTGCTCAGGCGCGCTCGGATCCTAGCAGTAATGCTGACGAGGGCGAAAGGTCCGAGACCCCCATTCGCGCTTCGCTCGGAAGGCCACCTGGGCCCAAATCCGTAGCCCATCGCATTCACGTGCCATAAAGACCTAACCATCGACCAGAGCCAGCACGGTTACGCCAGACAGAAATAGCATCTGCCGAGGACGCATCCGATCGACCCGCATCCCGAACGCTTCGTACAACTGCGAAGACACGCCTCGAGAGCATCCCCAAGGCGGGGGCTTCGCAAAATTCGGGCCCACGTCCGCAGGCCAAGAAGAGACGGCATCCTCAAACGCTCAGACATGCCACCGCTGAGACCACTCACGCTCTCAAAGATGTGAGGAGGAGGAAGATGAGGAGGAGCTTGCTGGCTTGCTCTCGGCTGCGGGACGCTGGATCGAATGACTGCTACGCTCGCGAAATTTGCGTGAGTCTTTATCAGTTGCGCGCGCGTAGACGAGGGACCGAACGGGCCGAGGGGCCGAGCGAATGGGGCCGAAAAAGGAAGCGAGGCGAGCGACAGGCAGAGGGCCGCGACCGACGACGGGCGAAGAGAGAGGCGAAGAGGAGCGGGGTCAATCTATTCGCGCGTCCGCCGCCCGCGCCCAGGCGCGAAACTTTTGCCGGGTGCGCGAGGCCGCGCAGCCGTAGCTCGATGGCCACGGCGCGGTGCTCGCGCCCTCGAATCCCGAGCTAGAGCCAGGCTTCGAAGAGGACATCCCCCTCCGCCTCAGGCCACTGCACGGGCAGGTCAGCGCCGCTCCCGAACCCAAGTCCTGCAGCACGTCGATCCAGGCCGAAATCTCGTCCTCCAGGTAGCCGCTCGGCGCAGCTCCCACTGTCGTCACCGCCCCCAGCGAGCGGAAGGCCTCCATCACCTGCATCTCGAGATCCACGCGGTCCAACGCAAAGATCACCTTCAGCGCGTCCGTCTGCTTGCAGCTCTCCTGGCGGCACAGGCGCACGAAGGTG